TCCACCTCCTTGCCCAAGCATTATTCTTCCAGGCAGGCTCAAGCAGTCCAGGAGCATCTGACAACATAAGGCTGCATCCTTTAACACTCTTCAGCTTCCTTTCTGGAGAAATGGATGCTTTCCTACATCTAGGCTGCTTTTTGCTCCTCATCAGCCAAAGACTGTATTTAAACAGCTAAGTTTAGATTTCTCTTCTCTGACAGCTCTGCCGACAACCACACAGCTTGCCGTGAATCTCCAGTCCCCTGCAGCTCTTCCTGCCTCAATCCTCGACCTTTTGGGACCAAGGGAGATGGACGGCACCCCAACATCTCCCATGGCAGACGGAGGCACCGGGTGGTGCAGCACAGCAGTGCTCCCTGTGCAGCTCCACACCTCACTACTACAGAAGGTTGTTCTTCAGCAGTCAATCGTAAGCCAAAAATCAATTATATTAAAGGTAAAATCCTTATAAAACATTTGTCAGGGATGAAATCCCAACATCAAATAAGCATCCAGGCTTGCCTGCTGGGACCTGGATTTCGCCGAGTTCGATCCAGCAAGTTTCACATTAGCACCATTGTTAAAAAGAGGGAAAGGGGCCAAGATGCAGTGGCAGCTTCCCTCTGCCTAAGCAGACAGTGGGCTGAAAATATCTGAATTCGCATCAAGTTGGGAGTGCCAGATAAGACAGCAGTGGTCTTACAGTCTCACAGGGAGGGTTTTTCTGTACAATAGAGCTTCTCTGAGTTATGTGCAGTAAGCTTTATGCAACCACAAACCAATTTCTGAACTTCTAAGCCACGATCAATATAATTATCCTGTGGAGAAAAAAACAACACAACAAAAAACAGCAAAACTCATTTTACAGCACTAAAGCGAGGCTGTGCCAATTATCGTTCCACAGATGCCAGGCTGGTTTGAAACATTCACATAGGCAGCCTTGAATTGAAATCACAAAGTCCACTCTACAGCGGGAATAAAAACTGAATAAAACCAGGGGGAAGATTCGGATGTTGTCAAGTAATTATAATTCATTGAATTTTTGAAGATTTGTCACTCTTTTAATCCAGTCACTGGCTCTCATCACAAATGGTAACCGAAACCAGCTGAAATAAGCCCAGAAGCTTGTTCCACCACACCACAGCTCCAGCAGACTTGATGCTGGGCCGGTCTTCACACTTTAAAATGAAACCAGAAACCTCTAAATAAGGTGAAAACGAACGCTGCCTTTATTGAGCTGCTCCCCAGCTGGTCAGGCACAGAGCTGGCAGGCAGCTGGGCTGGAAGCCGTCCTGCAGCCCTTCTGGCACTCAGGGCCGATGCAGACAGTGGGCTCCTGGCAGCCCCCCGTGCTTGCTGAGACATAAACCTGCAATTGCTCACGTTACCATACCGCTGTACCTGCAGTGGGACTGTTTCAATGAACCCAGAGTACTCCCCTTTCCACCTCAGTATTTTTCCAGTATCTCTGGAAGGTACACGCACATCTAATGCACAGGGAGCCAAACATTCTGCTGTTCCAAGAAGTGCCCTCTTCCTGCTCCCCAGGCACCCCCATGTTAACCACCTACCAGGAGTATGACACTGACACGAATCCACCCGTCACTTGCACTTTGCCATGCTCAGTTTCACAGCACAGAGCAGCCCTGGTAGTGCGGCGCAGGTCCCTTTTTGCAAGGGAACCCAGGGATGGTTTCCACCAATGGCTGTTCAGCTCATGAGATCTGACCACAGGCAGCCCTACGTAAAATACTCTGAAGAGCATTCAATGTGTACATTAGAGGGTAAGCAGCTCCGATTTCATACTGCTGATCTGTTCCTATTAAGTCACACTGTGTACTAACACAGAAATAGCTGTATAATCTAAACCCGTTAGATATGAGCAAAGCAGCTCCCATTTATTTCCATCTTGTTGGTGTTCTGAAATTTTAGTACAAAAGCTTGTCAGAAAGTATTAAGAGCATTTCCCTTGGAAAGTTGCAATATAAACACCCCACTAATTGAGTTGCTGCACTTTACCACCTTCATGCCCCAGCTGCTAACCCAGCACCTTCACTACGGCTGGGGCTGCAGGCAACGTGAGGAGGCACACCTGCACTTTTGCAGCTGCAGAAAGGGAACCTCTTGCCATTCCCACCTACAGTTCCCACAGTCAATTGTAACCCACGTCCTGGACCAAAGATGAGGATGTCAAGTTTTGCCATTCTGAAGTCAGTTGACTTTTTTTGCATAAAAGTTACCATAATGCACAACTGCGGAGCCAGTTACGCCCTGCGAAGTCCAAGCACAGCCAGCCTATGGGATGTTGGCTGCTCCAATCTCAACATTATTTCCAAGTGTTAAACATCATCAAGGACAACATCAATCCCCTTGCTCAAGTCCCATGAATTTTACCCAGTGGTTCTACCCTACAGCTTAACAACTCCCGTTCAAGCTAGTCTATAAAGTAATAAATCACATTGTAAAGGCTCACCACCTCTGGATAATTTGCTCCAGTAACCAATTACTCTTCCTATTAAAAAAACAGCCCTTGTTTTTAGTCCAAACTTCCATGGAAAAGCCAACTAATGATGCAGCAGAAGAACACATCCCAGTGATCAGCTTCTGCACATGGGATGAGGACTGATAATAGCGAATCCTGAATATTCATACTAGTGGGATTTTTAGGTATTCAGCATGGAAAGCAGCTTTGTCCAAGGGAATCACAGGCTCTGCAGCCGGTGGCAGAGGAAGCAGCTGATAGATTCATTGGATTTAACAGGGTCATATTGATTGCATCAGTCATTTTGCATTATGATACTACTGCTCTGCCCAGTATCAACAGATAATACACTCAGAGCAAATATATTTAAGATCATCATTAAAAAGGGCTAGAACTGCTGTTAGAAACTACATATTTCCCCCAACCCTTGGAATTTTTGTTCTTCCACCATCGGTGCTGCTTTGCTTGGAAGGCAGCACAAGCAGTCACTGCCGCATCCTTGCTCTTCCAGATCTCACAGCCAACCTCACCATTTTTTTCCAACAGCTTAAAGCAGAGAAAGGGGATTTGTACACAGAGAGGCAAAGCGGAATCACTGTCTCGGTCCACAAAGCATTCCCTTTGTAGGCCTGCCATCTGACTCAGAAACAAAACCAAACCAAGCTCTTCCTGCAGCTACCGATGTTAAAATCCAACCGCAACTAACTCATAAATGTGAAAATGTACAGCACGGTGCTGGCAGTAAACAAATGCTATGTGGAAGCAACCAGAATCAGAGCACATATTACGATGTAGTTATGCAGCCATGCTTTTATAGCTACGCAACAAAAACTTCCCTTATTAATCTCAGTGCTTCACCTAAGATCAGAGAGCTATTGAGGAATAGCATTCTCCACCCTGCAGCAGTCCCTCTACAAAAAAAAAAAAGGTCATTTGCAGAGGGATTTCTGCTTCAGGTAATCTTTGAATTGTCTTCTAACCAAAGGAAGGAGCAGTGCTGTGCTTAATGCTGGTGATTGAGTAAGTGACAAATGGGTGCTTGGCATTCCGTCCTCGGGGTGCACGGGGAAGCCATACATCAGTGCGGGGCTGCTGAGCAGTGCTTCATGGCAAGGCATAAAGATGTAGTGTTCAGATTCAAGTTTGTCACATGCTTAATTCTCACCTTGACACCCCGCCTAATTGTATGCCTACAAAGGACGGCCGCCCATACTGCTGTATTACCAAGAGAGCAGAGCTGCAAACAAATTCCAGGTGTAACAGTGCTGATTCCGGACCACAGAATCATAGAACCACAAGGTTGGACCTGCAAGATCATCCAGTCCGAGCGCCCTCCCATCACCACTGCTACCACAAGCACTAACCCACATCTCGCAGCTCCTCATCCAGGCACCTCTTGAGCACTGCCAGGGACGGCGACTCTTCCAGCTGCCTGGGCAGCCACTGCAGTGCCTGACCACTCTGAGAGAAAAAGTTCTTCCTTTTGTCTAACCTAAATCACCCCACGCACAACTTGCAGCCATTTCCCTGTGTCCTGCTCCTTGCCTGGGAGCAGAGGCCAAAGCCCTCCTCACCACAGCCTCCCCTCAGGAAGTTGTGGAGCGCCATGAGGTCTGCCCTGAGCCTCCTCTACTCCAGACTGAACAATCCCAGCTCCCTCAGCTGCTCCTCACAAGACTTTTGCTCCAGACCCCTCACCAGTTTCACTGCCCTTTTCTGCACACGTTCCAGGGCCTCAATGTCCTTCCTGCAGTGAGGAGCCCAAAACTGAACACAGCACTCGATGTGTGGCCTCCCCAGTGCTGAGCACAGAGGGATGCTCACCTCCCTGCTCCTGCTGGCTAGAAATTACTATTTCTAATGCAGGCCAGGATGCTGTTGGCCCTCACAGCCACCTGGGCACACTGTCAGCTCATGTTCAGCCGAGCATCAACCAACACCCCCAGGCCCCTTTCCTCTTCACAGTCATCCAGCCTATAACGCTGCAACCACGAAGGGCAGGTGATGGAGCATGATGCACAAATTTCATCAGTGATTATCTATCTGATATCTGATGTTTGAGGAGACAGTAACACCCTGGCTTGTTACAGTCATAACTGTAAGGAATCTCCTATAGCCACAGCTAAGCACTGAAATATAGGGGTTGCACAGCACGTCTGTTGGTACAGCAGCAACCTAACCTATGTGACACCCCAGCTACACCTGTGCTAGCCTGCTCTGCCTTATTTGCACAGCAAGAAGGCAAAAAAGCAGCAGCTGATTCTCCCATGACTCCCAACATGCTGACGTTCAGGAACAACCACCATGCCCATCTCCACGCAGACAGGAGCTGTGTGCTCAGGTGCAAATCCCAAGTGCCTGCAGCACCCATGCTTCCGTTCTCCACACCAGAAGCACAAAGAGGCTGCCCGGCCCACGTCAGCATCAAGTGCCATTAGGCTGTTTGTGGGACTTAATGCGCCAGGAAGGCTTCCACCAGATGTCAGCCTAACTAAATGACAACGCTGGCCTCGGGGTGCAGCTCTGCTTCGAGTGCATGTGTTTAGCAGGAAGACCAGTTCCGCTGCTGCACAACAAGCCAGGTAAGGGAGCGGGTTCTTTGGTCCTAGAGCACTTACTCTCAAGAAAGCCACACTTCCTCTTTTCCCCCAAGTTTTAGAGGTGCAGATACCACCTCAAAGCCTGTTCTGGTGGGAGGCTCCAGATGGCACTACTCCATGGCTTCCCTTGGCATGCAAGCAAGTTTGCAGTCTCAGAAGAAATACAATGGTGAGAATTAAGCAGGCAGCTGGAGTCTATTCTCAGCCTGCTGCACCTCGGCACCCCAGACAGTTCCCAAAGCACAAGGAGAATATCAGCACACTTTCAGGTTTAAAAGGAATCGGAGGTATGCCTTCAATAATAGCTGTTGTCTCACGACAAGCACGCACAAAAACAGGTTTACGCTGAGAAAAGCACCCATAGAGCTCGCATTCACTGTTTCCCAAACAAGAAACTCACTGGCAAGGTGCTAAACAGCCCTTGTTTGGTTACAGGCCAGAGAACCAAAAGCTTCAGCGAGGCAGCAGCTTACCATGTGCAAGCAGCAACTCCCAACGCCGTGCCAGATTACACAACCGTCACGTGGGAGGAACCTACCAACATGCACGGATGTGAAAAAGCAGAACCCTTCCAAAAGGTACCCAAATTTGGCCACTCGGTAATAATGGAAAGAGTGGCACAGCAGGATAGTAATTTTTCATCTCGGAGCTTTTTCAATTTTCTTAAATGACACCTTAGGAACATTCCTTAAAAGATTGTGTTATCATATTTATGTGCTATTAACATTCAGATCAGCGCTGGGGTCAGGACAGTGCACCAGATGAGTGCTGAGAAGCACAGCTACAGGCACGTTGCTGCTGTACTCCCCCAAGGCAACGGGCAGCTCAGGCTGCATTTTGGCTGCGTACTTCTTGCACAGTGAATATTAACTATGGAAAAACTCTTGGAATAGGTCCGTGTCATTTCTTTACACATGGTCCTTTCAGTCTAGAGCAAAAGCTGGAATATTTACGGTGACAGAACAATTTAACACAGTCACCTAGCACTGCCCAGTTTAACATTAAAAATAGCTACATTACTTATTTTTCTGTTTTGTGGGCTTTTGCTTTTCTTTGTGCTTTGTGTTCTCCATCCCTCCATTTCATTTAACACCTCCCCTGTGGGGACAGCCACAGGTCCAGCACTGCAGCCAGGGGCACAGCTGCTCTGTAGGACAAAGAAAGAAAATCAGGCAGAAACCAGCAAGGCTAAGCTTAAATAAGGAACTAAAGTTTAATAATGAAGCTAAATGACCATTGTCTTCTCAGACCTCCTCTGACACAATTAATATCCCTCCCTGTTAGCATGGGGAATTGGCTATTCTCAGCTCAGCCCTGTCCCGAGGTCATCACCGACACCTCACTGCCACAGGGCAAGCACCGCCGAGCACCTCGTGCTGCACTGCTGCCACGTGTCTCAAGGTGACAACAAGTCCCACAGGACAGTCTGCTCTGGACAGTGGGAGCTGTGATGTCCCAGCCTGTAGCCCTGGACCAGGCTGTGGCCCTGCACGGCTGCTGGCACCACAGCCCAGCTCAGGACTGTGCATGCTGGCTGCAGGTCTTGCCGTCACCGTGGCTCCCGGTCCTTGATCAAGGGCTGTGAGCTGCAGGGAATGCCTGCTGTAAACGCAACTTACTCTCCTACACTTCGGTAAGCAGCAATAAGTGACACAAAAGCCAGGGTTTGCAAGGAACAAAAAAAAATAAGATGGATTTCCTCATTTCATAACTGCAAGCTGTCAAGCTAGATTCCAATTAATTTTTTTTCTCCTGTGCTCTAAGGTAAGCTTTGCTTTTTTTTCCAGAAATTTCCCAGCACTTTTCTCACCGCAGGGCCTCCACCGCACGCCCCGACAGCACCCCTGTCCCAAAAAGCACTCCCCTCTGCCCGTGCTCCTGCAGGGACCTCGAGCTGCCCCACCTCCCTGCAAAGCGCTGCTAATCAGCGCCCTCAGTCCAAGTCGGGCACACTTCACGTCCCCGAGCATCCCCAGTGCAGCCGGGTTGGACAGGCAGCTGGCAGCAGCAGCGAGGCTCCAGCTGCAGCTCTGCGCTGCCACAGTGAGCGCAGCCAGCAGGAATGCAGGGGGGGAGCGGGCGGTGCGCGGCTCTCCGGCTCCTCGCATCGCCGGGACGAAGGGCTCTAACAGCTGATTTTTTTTGCCCTCCTCGATCAGCGGTCTCAAACACGATCGCAGTATGCAGCACAATGCTTTAAAACAGCAAAGCTTCTGGAAAACCCAAACAAAAGGAACGTCACCAGGTGACGTCAGCCTATATACAGCCCTGCGTGGTCGCAGCGCATAAGCAAACCCATTCTTGTGCCGCTTCCCTGAAAAGCTTTTCAGTAAATGCACTCATGCTACTCCAGGAGCTTCTCTCAGCAATAAGCCACCCATCCGCCATCAACAAGTTAGGACTAAAGGAACCCACAGCTGCGGAAAAAGAAAACGTGAGCTTCAATTAAACAGCCGAGCAGCCGCCGAGGAAGAAAACTTCTATTAAGCATCGACTTGAAAACTGCAGACCTGGCAGAGGAGGTCACGCCGGCGCTTTCAAAAGGAATATTCTAAGAGAGCACGGTGGATTCAATTTTGCACTAATATCACAGGACCCTAAACCAGTAAATTATTCACAGGCTATCTCGCGTTAGAGCCTTTCACAGACTCACCGTGTTGAGTCTCAAACTACGACTGAATGCAACCTCCAATGTACTCAAAAGAATGGGTAAGTGTGTGCCTTTCTCTCTCCCTTGTCTAATGAATGATGGCTGTGTGTTAAGGCAGCGGCGAGGTGCTACAGCACGCTTTGCTGGGGTGAACCTTGTGAGAGCAATGTGTTCTGATTGTGACGCTGTAACCCTCCGTAATGCCGATAAAGACTCATCCTAAGTGTAATAGCTGGTATTCTGTGTGTAGTACTAAGTTGTTTCTTGCATTTAGAATAAGCTTTTCGGAAATGCATGGAAATGTTATCTGCAGTGAAATCTTCCACGGTGATGTTCAAAGTATACTGATAAGGATATCCTATCTTGTTGTTTTCCTAAATTATATTCTGCAGGCTTACATTTCAAGTGGCCATTAGGGGCTCGTATGCTGGCAGCACTATATGCAATGAGCATGGTTTTAAAAATGCTGCCTGCCTTGGGCATGGCTTGTCCACCAAAATGTCGCTGTGAGAAGCTACTCTTTTACTGTGACTCTCAGGGGTTTCACTCAGTGCCAAACACCACTGAAAAGGGCTCTCTAGGTTTGTCACTGAGGCACAATTTTATTACTGAACTTGAAAGGGATCAATTTGCGAGCTTCAGTCAACTTACTTGGCTTCACTTAGATCATAATCAAATTGCAACAGTCAGAGAAGATTCTTTTCAAGGACTGTATAAACTTAAGGAATTAGTCTTAAGTTCCAACAAAATCTTTCATTTGCCAAACACCACTTTTAGCCAGCTGCTTAACCTGCAGAATTTGGACCTCTCTTTTAATCAGTTGTCCTCTCTGCACCCCGAGCTGCTCTACGGCCTCCGCAAGCTGCAGACCTTGCATCTGCGCTCCAACTCCCTGCGGACGATCCCCGTCCGCCTGTTCTGGGACTGCCGTAGCCTGGAGTTCCTGGATCTGAGCACAAACCGCTTGCGAAGTTTGGCTCGCAATGGCTTTGCGGGATTAATCAAGCTGAGGGAGCTGCACCTAGAGCACAACCAGCTGACAAAGATTAATTTTGCTCATTTCCTCCGGCTGAGCAGCCTGCACACTCTCTTCTTGCAGTGGAACAAAATTAGCAACTTGACGTGTGGGATGGAGTGGACCTGGGGCACCTTAGAAAAGCTCGATTTGACTGGAAACGAGATCAAAGCCATCGACCTAACAGTTTTTGAAACTATGCCTAACCTTAAAACCCTCCTCCTGGATAACAACAAGCTCAGCACGCTGGACTCCAAGATCCTGCGCTCGCTGCCGTCGCTCAGCACCGTGGGGCTCTCGGGCAATCTGTGGGAATGCAGCGCCCGGATCTGCGCGCTGGCCGCCTGGCTGGGAGCCTTCCGGGGCCGCTGGGAGCATCCCATCCTGTGCCACGGCCCCGACCACGCCCAGGGAGAGGACATCCTGGACGCCGTGCACGGCTTCCAGCTCTGCTGGAACGCATCGACCGCCGCCCCGTCCGCGGCTCCGACGGACGCTCCCACCACCGAGTCCACGAAAGGCATCAGCTCCTCTCATTTCCATATGGGAGACAAAGAAATCCCCACCACGGCAGGCATGGTCGTCACCACCGAGGAACCCTTCCCCGAGCCAAACAATGCCATCTTCACTCAGAGGGTAATTACAGGGACAATGGCTTTATTGTTTTCTTTCTTTTTTATCATTTTTATAGTGTTCATCTCCAGGAAATGCTGCCCTCCCACATTAAGAAGAATTAGGCAGTGCTCAATGATTCAAAACCACAGGCAGCTCCGATCCCAAACGCGGCTACATATGGCAAATATGTCAGACCAAGGACCGTACAATGAGTACGAACCCACCCACGAAGGACCCTTCATCATCATTAACGGCTACGGACAATGCAAGTGTCAGCAGCTGCCATATAAAGAATGTGAAGTATAATACTTAAAATTAAACCAGATAAGTAACCTATTTTAAAATTGTAGGGGACCTACAGCAGATTCTAATTTTTACAAATGTTGACGTAAAGCCTAATTTTCCAAGCTACTCAATGGAAGCATTGTTTATGGAGTGGTGCAGTATTTTTAAGTTGTTGTTTTTTTTTTTAATAAATCCATAATATTTTCAGTGTTAAAGAAGCAATGATCACATTAAACTTGCACTCCTAGTGTTTAAAAGTCTAAAAAGACTCTCACCTCAAACTATGTAAAATGTTCCATGTTATGTAACTCTCCGACTGTGCGTACCATTTATACCCAAGTCTCCACACTCCACTTTCCCCAGTAAAATCAGCCCGGGTGGAAGGAGGGAGGCTGTCTGCACAGAGACCTGCAGAGGAACATACACTGCATTTGTTCCCCCGCAGCTGTGCGATGCCAAACATCCCAGCTGGCTCTGCTCAATTCAGAGGCACGCTGGAGGAAGGCTTTCCTCCTCTGATCATTTCCACTCGAGTAAAAAGGGGAGAGGGAAAAAAAGAAAAAAAAAAGTGACCAAGGTTCAGGTGGGGATTTAGATGCACTGGGGACTGGCAAATTAATTTTTAAGGCAGTTTTCCTACCTCCATGCTCACAGTTTGGCTTGCTTACACATACCTTGCTCGAGCTCGCAGCAAACGCAGGCAGGAGCAGTTCACACGACCACCAATTAACCAGGATGGCTCTCCAGGCACTTGCAGAGTACCTGGTGGTGCTTAATTAGGAAGGTTGGTACGATGATCTAAATGTTACAGGCGTTCAAACCCGACCAGCTCTCTGCTTTGCCTCGATGATGCTTTTCATGCACTCGGGCTAATGACTCACGCCTATGAACAAACAGCACTTCCACACCTTTTCATGTGTAAATACCCTTAACACAAGTTTTTCTTAATTAAAAGTAAATATCAACCGGAGGTTAAGAAAGAGAGAAGGAAGGAAGAAACCTCTCTTTGTCGTCCCCCCCCTCTCCCCCCTCAGGCTTCCTCTTGCTGGGAGCTATTTTCATGCACTAACTCCACGGTTTCTCTGGAGACAGAATTAGCCCCTGTAATATAAGCTCTCACTTGTCCTCCTCTTCCAAAATTCAAGGTAATTACCAGCTCAAAGCTGCGTACCTTCCGATACATTAGGATAATGGTTAGTTTATAGAATAGTTCACAAAAAAACGTTTTGTTTCTTAGTCAAAATGGGACAGAATCTAAACTAGTATGCCATTAAAAAATTCTTATATAAATATATATACACACACACGCACCTCATTCTTCGGGAGTAATTTGATTTCTTTAACCAGAGGTATCACATTGCTATTTATACTATATTATGAAATGATATGTAAATATTTGCAGATCTATGCAGCGACAGTGGTACTGAGATGCCATGGGGGAGGGCGGGGGGGTCTGCAAAGGATTACGTTATTTTTAAGTCAACTGCTCAAATATTGTAAACGTTCTAACCAAAGTTAAAAGGACCAGAGGGATGGAATTTTTTTATATATATATATATACATGTATGTATAACTAAAAAATGTGTTGTGTCCAATGCTGCAGTGTTAAACAATTACCAGCAAACACGGATGAAGAGAAATTCCTCACAGTGTCAACATACCTTGAACGAATCAGTAATTACAGTATGCTAATTGTGTTGTACTAAACTATTCTGCAAACTTTCTGAACAGAAAAATCACTGCATAAAAATCTGTTCGCTATTTCACTCTGCTTTTATATATCTGTATTACCACTTAGTGAGGTATTTAGGGTGCAATTATACAAGTTTGATGTTTTATTGTGAAATGAATTCGTCCGAGGCAACTATAGCAAGATAAGTGTGACTTCTGTTCAGATTTTACATAAAGATTTTTTAAATTACTGGTTTTGAAGATATTAATTTGCATCATTTTACTTTTACGGTGCCCTTATTATAAAACAAATATTTTGTGTACTTCCTACGACTTTGTACTTTAATAGAAGAGAGCCAGAGAAGACTATGGTTTTCCATTAAGTTCTCTTTGAACTCCCCTAACTGTTTATAATACGACAAGCCAATCTGCATCCATTTTAGGAAATCAACTGTTGCTTTTTCTGCTTTTACTGCTTTCAACTGAATGTAATAAATCCGGCGAGGTAGGTGGGCAGGGAGTGAATATGAGTGTGGCAAGGCCCTGGCACAGGCTGCCCAGAGGAGCTGTGGATGCCCCATCCCTGGAGGTGCTCAGGGCCAGCTTGGATGAAGCCCAGGGCAGACTGGTACGGTATCAGAATCAGTGGTCAGCAGCCCTGCTTGTGGCAGGAGGTTGGATCTAGATGACCCTTGAGGTCCCTTCCAACCCAAGCCATTCCACGATTCATGGCTCTATGATTCCATATGATTACAACCCATGTGATTCAGCCCTAAGCCAATACAAAACCTTAATGTATGGCTGACTGTAGGAAGACTTGCTTCCTTCCCAGCAATCAGTGGCTCTTCCCTCAGCCCCAGGCTCCTGCTGGGAGCAGAGCAGTGCAGCAGCCCGCCCTGCTGTGCCACCCTTACTGTGTTGGCTGATCCCATGCCTGCACCAAAGGTACCAGGGAGCAGCAGTGCTTTCCATGGAGGCACCAGCAGAGACAAAGTTCTGACTTAACTCATGACTCAACTTCCAGTGCCCATACCATTAATCTTAGTGCAGCACTACCACCCATCAGATGGCAGCACTGAACACCAATGTCCAAGCTGTGCATGCAGGACAGAATCCCACTTTCCTGCCCCCCATGCAGCCAGCCCAGAGCTGGGAGCTCACAAGGCACAGAGCCAGGTTGGATGGGACCCTGGGCAGCCTAATCTAGTGGTTAGCTACCCTGTCTATGGCAGGGAGGTTGGAGCACAATGATCTTTGAGGTCCCTTCCAACCCAAATCTTTCTATGATTTCCTGACTGCAGTGTCTTCCCAGTGCCCCAGAAGCCCGTCTCTAACAGCTTGTAATTCTGCCCCAGAAGAGTACAGACTGATGCTCCAGCTGGGTGCTTCACTTCTCCCATCCATCATCCCAGTTTTGCAGGTCCCACAGGCTCTGCTGGTTGGGGTGCAGGGAGCCCACCCATGCTGCCTCCCTCAGCCCCACTCACATTTACGCTCCAACACGCGGCTGCTCTCCCAGATGCTGTGGTTTATACCTGCCATTTCCTAAACCATTTGTTGCCAGGTTCCAGGCGTGAGCAAAGCAGTTCCATAAACATCACATTTAGGGTAACAGGTACAATAAAACCTGCAGAATGTCAAACACGAGCAGCAAAGTCAACTTGAATTCCCTTGGGAGGGACAGCAAACTGCAGGCACAGCCATCGCCCTACAGAAGGGCACCGTGAGAGGTTGTTAATCCTTTTTGGTTGTTTTAAAGTTACTGTCTTCCATTCTCAATGGCTTGTGACTCTTCCAAACAAAGAGAGGATTATAATAATTGCCTTAGTCAGCAGTCTGATTTATTTTGTTTATGGAATACGAAGCAGGATGATTTGGCTTAAGTTAAGTGTTTTCAGGATGAGCACTGACTGATGAAGCGGTTGTTAAATTCTTCTCTGAGACTATCACCTCTACTGCACAGCCTTGGTTTCTGCAGGTACTCAATTAGGGGGAAATTCTTTACCCAGAGGACAGTGAGGCCCTGGCACTGCTGCCCAGACATGTGGTTACCCTATCCCTGGAGGTGCCCAAGGCCATGGACGGGGCCTTGGGTAGTCTGAGCTGGTGGGGGGCACAGCAAGGATTGAGGAGGCTGCAAGGTCACTTCCAAACCAACCATTCTGTGATACTATGATAAATGACAGAGGTACCTCACCACCTCTATGTACAGCATCACACAAGCCTTCAGGGCCGTTCAGAAGTGGAAATTTGTTCTGCTGCTCTAGGATCCTTGTGCCACCCAAAGACATGATTGCCTACGCTTCCATTCCCCACCCTCGTGCCAGTGAAATGCAAACCAGGCAGTACAAGCTCCATTTGAGTCATCGTGTTGGAACAGGTCTGAATTAATGCTTTCAGCTCCCCTCTTGTTAGTCGCTCTGCATTAGATCATCGTTTAAATGCATACAACCAAGAATTACTTGATCGAGAGTAAAACGGGTTAGCGCTGAGACTCCGATGGGAGCGCTCCTCTGCCAGCAGAGCTCCCACTTCCATCAGAAGGAAACGTAATTAATGCTGCTGAATCAATGTTGGGTTTTGTTTTGCTGCAGAAGTTATGTGATTTTTCAGAGATAAGCCCAGCCTGCACGCAAAGCCCAGCATCTGAGCTCGCAGCCTGTATGCCCCTTCAAAGGCTGCAGTCTACTGCTGACATGTAAACCAGAAACATCCAGTGGCTTTAATCAGAAGTCTGCACTACATTCTTGGTTTTTAATGTGCCTAAGTTAATTTCTGTACTGCTTTAATGAAAATAAAGTTGATTTAATTTTGTGAGCTGCACAGCTATTAAAATCCATCTGTTCAGACCTATGAAGTCTACTGAGAAAGCTGAATTTCATCTTTACATAAAAATTAGGGAGTTCAGAAAGGAACACAGAACTTCTCCCCCAGTAAAAAGAACAAAAAAAGAAAGCAAAGAAACAGCAGCAGAACCTGAAGGCAGCTGCACAGAAGCAGATCCTTCCTCCTATCCCCTTCTGCATTGCACAGAGTCCCATGCACTGGAAGTGGGGACAGATTTTCCTTTTTAAGCCAGGTGCTAGTGGGATGCTTGGAGATCATTTTAGTCACCTGGAAATGTAGCATTTCACACCTTGAACAAAAATCTTTTTTGAGAGGTATTCAGGGAGAGGTGACAGCAGCTTTGATGGATACGGCCAACCTCAGACAGGGCAAAACTCATGCATTTTACGGACAAAACACCACACGGCTCATGCACCTGTGATGTACACACAAACCTCCACCTGCCAGCCCTCAGCCACCCATTTGTTAAAACAAACCCTAAAGACAAAACAAAAACAGCACCCTGTTTTGCTTCTCACCCTCATGAAACATTAGCAAGTGAACTATTCTACCAGCTCAGCAACGAGACGGAGAGCCCTCAGTGCACTGTATTGAAATTATAGTTAAAGAGCCAGTTCCTGATGGGAGGGGGGTGTAAGTAATGGAATAA